ATTTCCCCGTCTTGCAAAGCTTCGACGTTCTGGAATGCCTGGTTTGGACGCCCTATTTGGTTGTTTTCCACTCCATCTAGCCTGTGCTCTGCGTCCTTAAGGCTTCCCAACCGGGCCAGAACGATACCTGACATCTTACATCGGCCTGGTTCCACCTCTGCGGAATTCCTTGACCAGCTTGAAATTATCCCGCTGCTCAAATACTTGCAAACCTCAGCTCAATGAACTCAAACATGACGTCCGTTACAGAGCTGACCTAAAACCAAGTGTGTCGAGCCAATGATGGCACATCGCTGCCATACCCAGTTTCATAGCACAGTGTAGTATACGGTGTCTGTCAGTTTGATTGTTTCATATGTAAGTATTGGTGATGTACAACCTTGCTTACTGGGCTCTGGCTCATGAGCTTTGTTTCTGTTTTCCATTCCACAGAAATTTCGTGAACACCTGCCTTCGGAGAATCACTGTCCTGGTGCATATTACAACAGCAACGAAAGCCCTCTTCCCACCGTTAACGGTGCCCTCTCGCTCACTCGTTGCATTAACTGCAAACACGGGCAAACACCTCACCTGGCCCCAGCTGCATCCAGGGCGCGTACATTATGATCTTCTGAACCATTAGTTGATATTCAACAGATCCGAAGGAGTCTTATTCTGTGCTGTCCAAAAACTCGATAATTTTCTCTGCAGTTCGCAACCGGGCTTGTGAGTCGTCACCAACTCACTCTTCCGGGGGAATTTACGTCAAACTGCACTAAAACAGCGACACCTGTGAGTCTGCAGCTTCGCTGTAAAACATGATTTTGGGATTCTCGCTACCATTTAATTGCACTACTAACCCCCTCCCACTTCACCATCCCCACTTCACTTTTTGTGACCCTGGTCATAAGCCCAACGGCTCGCTGCCCCGAGGCTTTAGCTACTGCTCACTAAAGCCACAACCAAATTATTTTCGCCGAAACTACAGGGTTTTCGAAGGTGTGACTATTACCGAGAGCTAGTCTAATCCATTTGAACTTTTTGATGATAATTTGCTTATAGCATTTTGTTTAAGCGAGCAAAATTTCAAGGTCACGAATCATCACCGATTCGCATTATGTTACCAGTTTACGAGAGGTGCATGCGATTAATGCATAAGCCAGTATTCTGATTGGCTAGTTGGGCCCAAGCCGGGGAGCACGCATAGAAACGAATTAAGTAGTTAAAGCGCATAAACTAAGGAAATATGGACCACCAGTTTGAGCAGGAAAATAACAAGAAACAACTAAAAAATTTGACTCCGGGAGATCCCTGTTTCTCCGCGTGAAATATGTACCATTTGACGTTTATGAAATTAATAGAAAGCTCAACATCTCAAAACGTATCCACGTACCTTAAAAAGCCCTCCTCCGACATGCCTTTTTTCACACGGCGTGTTTCTGACAACCCACATCACTTCTAATAAAACTTTAGCGTATACTGGACATCTGTGTTTTCGGAAATCTCGATTCAAACTTAACTGATGTCTTGGATATGTATGCGTATTCAATTCTTTTCGCACACAGATCATTAAGGTACCTTAGTTAGTCATATTTTGTGCTGTGCAAGACTATCAGCAAAAGCGATAATGTTCTATGAATAAACCCACTAACGGGGAAAGTCGAAGAGAAGTCGGACGGCGTCATTCGGATTTGAACCGCGGACCAACCAGCCCCTGTGTACAAGCTTATCCTACTTGACCACCGAGCCACGGGGGTTGTTGGTGCAAACCGCTACTAAAGAGCCACGCCTCGTAAGGAGTAGCCGTAGGTTATGTAAGGGATCACGTGACTCCGGTCAGCCAATCATTTGCATCAGTCTGGCTTGTGTATGAATGCCATAAAACTTCCATGAAAATTCCATAAAACACTAAATCGCACTTCACCGTGGTTTGGCGTTCTTTGGTGTTCTTTAACAATGAAATAACATCTACAGAACTTCCAGTGCATAATCCATCCGTGAAAATCGGTCACTGACGCTCGCTTGCTTTACACTGCTCAGATCTAAACAATGAGATAATTTTATTCAGTGAAATTGGTCACAACATATTTTCCCATGGAGTTCAGCTTCAGCTAAATACAAGATCGTCGGACAGTGGCATGAATTGTGCAGTGGAGATGCGATGGCCATCCCTGTGGATGAGTCCATTCCAGATGTGCATAACTAGCCTGTGAACAATGCCGCGTCATGAGGTAACTGCAGGTAAATTAGCGAAACAATGGCATCTTTTTCGATGGGGATATGACTCACCATGGGCGAAATACGCCGTAAAGCAGTCATCAAGGTAACGGTAGTCGTTGTCACTCACCTAGACTGCTTATCTTAACCGCCAGACCCGTGTCTATGTGCGGCGATGATTACCAGGCCTCACCTATACATAGTAGCCTAATCCAATGACTAACGATGGCCTTTCATACTCAGAACTGTACCCGTTTTCAGCCATCTGAAGTGTTTACCATAACTGCTAGGCCCCCTGTTTATGTGCAACGCTGCTTATGAAGCACCACCTAGGTAGAGCAACCTAATTCAATAACCAACGACTGCCTCTCATTCTAAACCATTACGCGATGTCGCTTATCTTTGCTGCGTTTACGGTGAAAGATGACTACCTCAGTTACCCTAAAATAAATGGAGGGAAACTACTAATAGTAAGAGGCTTACCACCCACGAACTAGAACTAAGATTATCAACTCATTCTGTGGGAATTTCTGCGCATGTAAGGCGTTCAACACATTCGATCTGTTGTATAGGTATTATCCAACATTACGACGTACACTGGTGTTCCAAATCGGGGATGAGAAAACGAAAATCGACTGTCAGCACAAATAGTGCCAAAACATCGGTAAATATCATTCGGAGTGAGAGCTCTTCGGTGTAGATTGTCTCATCAAAAATTAAATCTTGAGCAAGTTGTAATCATGTGATATTGACTCTCCAATGTTGTAATAACAGGTCGCACAGATTACTTGACGTGGTTAAGGAAACGTAGTCTGTAGTTTTTGGGTGTCACTAGAAACCCGAAGTCCAATCCGTTTGTCGAAACAAAGCCGATCCATTTGTTCCTTTGCGGAAAAACTTGGTGATGTTTTGCATAGACATGCACAGACGTCTGGAGCAAACGAGGGTAAGCAGATATGCCGCCACCTTAGACTGTGTGAAGAGCGAGGTGCGCGAGCAACCTGCTGAGATTAACGGGGTGCGAGATGTGACCTTGATTATGGCATGTATCCTGAGCTATAAGCACATTCAAGAGGCGTTCAGAACAACATTGTGTAGCTAGCGTCTGTTCACACAGATGACTTAGGAGACTGCACACGAGTGGCGCTATGTTTATTTTATAGAACACTGGACGGTTAAATTTGGCCTTAGGATTAAGCGCATACTAAGAAGGTTATATGATATGGTCCTGTAGTTTGTGCCTCACGTTTTTACCGGCACTAGGTAATCGACTTCACATAATTGTAGTCTATTTTGTATGATGCAGTCCATGTGGGTGGCAAATGTCGAGTTAACACAGTGCTGCATTTGGAGCTGTGGCCAGCTTCACAAAGGTGAATCCAACCGGTTTATGGGGACCGAATGAGCTTGTTCAGTCTCTCGTAACGTCTTTTGCTCAACGACCACTCTTCATCTATTGACCTATAATTATTTCGAGGTATGCTGAAATTAGCTGTTTTGTGATATCCAAGCCGTTTGAGAAGGCGACTGAGCCAACAGCGTAGAATTTACTGAGACATTCCGTTGTGGCTGTTGCTACCCATGGACCAAGCATACGGCACAAGCTACGACGCTATCCATACGTTCCATTCACTGCTTTCAAGTTTTTTTCAAAGTTCGTGTTCACCGAAGACGGCGTGCGCTATTTGTTCGGTGAATTCAACTAAGATGACTTAGTTCAACGGGGGGAACTTACTGGCATAACACGACAAAATTCGGTCTGATACTGACAGGTTAACTTGTCTTTCCACCCGGTTTCATATCTGTTTTTCTCTGATGGTACTATCCAAATCCAATAACTACCTGTGGGCGATCAGCACCAGGAATACGGAAAAGTTCACCAACCCATTGACACGAAAACAGTTTTGGATGCATTTTTATACATTTCTGCAACCACAAGGATACAGTGCCAGTGAATGGTCACCCTTTGTCGGTGAAGTTTCATTTTGATCCACTCGTCTAATCGTTGTTTTGCACGATCAGTAGAGAGAGCAGCCCCGTACCCCCGACCGCAGTCAAGGCAGACAAAACCTCGAGTTTGAACTGAAATCCGTTCCGACCGTGGCAGCCACTCCCATGTAAGGCTCAATATAAAGACTTCCCTAATCATGAAGTCCATAGTTATTTCAGATTCTCAAATTGCCAACATGCTGCAGTCATTGGAGAGCCCCTATCTGCTCTAGTAAGCCGCACCACGACATTCACTATCTCCTTCATCCTGTCCCTAATATAGAATTCGAATAGCTTCCTTTTCACTGGCGGTTATACAAATCAACAACACGAACTAATTGTTCACAAGCACGGTTATGATTGGCGGAGTGGTATCCCCTGGCTTGCGTAACGTCAAACCAATTCGGTGGTTAGTCCTAAAAATTATCAATCTCAGTGAATCGCTGTACACTACCTGATAATAACTGGTCCCGTTGGAACCGTTTCTGAATAGTCAAACTGCATTTTATGCGCTGATGAACTTCCTAATTTTGACTTAGTTCATGAGTAGTGAGTCTTCGACTTCCACATATTCACATATTCCGATATAACCTGGTAGTTTTTATCGTACATGGAATTTTCAGCGGATGAAAATCAGGTATTATTTCACAAATTCGTCCCGCACTAGAGGGGTCCGTGCGTTCCCCTGTAGATTTCCGCTCACCAACAGGCTAACTGTATGGTATCTAATAATGGCTAGGTTAGGAATCGACTTGGTCACGAGGTGTTGGTTTCGTGGAATACCGAGAAATTAACATGAGAAAGTATTGGAATTCTTCTGGATATGGTGCATGAAAAAACATCTGAAGGTTATCAACAGGTTCGTAAGTTGTAAGATAAGAAAGTTAACATGAAGGGGTTTAAACGACTGGTACAAGAGTCAATAATATCACAGTCGTTAGCAAAGTGTACGAAATCACTCAGTCTAACCATATTCCGGGACTGGTTAAATTTTGGGGACCTGACCGCTGAGATCCACAATATAATACATCCGGTTCTGAGCATGTACACAATTGATACGCCCTTTGGTTTTTGACAGTCGGTGCGAGGTAATATACCCATCCTTGTTGGTCGGAAACACAGACACCTTGACAAAGGATTTCCCCAACATGTTGCAAGCCAGTTTCGTGAATGGGATTTATGGCTGGGACGAAGGACAGCGCCGTGATTTGGGAACAAGGCGAGCCAGCTGCTTGGGGAAGCTGTGAAGGAACATGAAAAATAACAGTGCACTTCCACTTGGTCAAACAGTGCAGAGTACAACATTCAACCACACACATATTCGAAAGCCCGAAACTGTAGCTCATCATTCAGTGTCCCGCTCATCATCATCATCATCATCATCATCATCATCATCCACAGTATGACACAGTGTTCAACACTGATGGCTTTCTGTTGTAAAGCCATGAGTAATTTAGAAAACTTGTTGTGAAGCAAAGGATAAAATTGGATGGGGAAGAAACTTAGTCTTAGCCTAACACAATCATTACGAGATGCCTACACACATTCAAGCGCGTTGAACAGAAACTGACAGAAAGGACGCCACAGACATCGATTAACAGCCACATCTTGCAGCGTCTCCAATCGGGCGCAATGGGGATCACGCGGTCCCCATCCTGGAAGGCGAGTAGCACTGACAGTACCCAAACGTCTCGTAATCTAGTTGATAACCATCTGCCAGCTCAAGGGTTGGCCACCTCTCTGTTTCTATCACTCTGAATTGGGCACGGAAAACAGCACCCTATTCGGTAAACGACCGTTCGCTATACGCAAAACATGGCCTAAGCAGCTTCTGGTGCTGGACACGTTCTTCAGTGGAAGTTCCCGCTGCACAGCCGAAAACTCGCTTTCTTATTACCACCAGACGGATACCCCGACACAAGATCACACGGGCTATGGTTCAGAGACGACTGTCGAACACTTGAAAACATCGCAGTTCGTCTGCTGAACGGGCCAAGTTTCACAGCCATACACCAAAACAGCGCGCACTGTAGCCTGACACACAAGTCCCTTTAGATTCAGAGATATACTCATCATCATCATCACCATCATTATCAGCTGTAATAACCGCGTACTGGTCGTACACTGGTTGTATCTGCCACAGTTTCGTTCACCGATGATTGGGGGGTAAGTAGCTGCGCATTGCACGCGCGAGCTGGTAAATTGGTGCATAAATCCAGCACTTTCAGTGAGTTGTCAAGCGGGGG